TGGTGCAGCATAAGAGGCAAAGCAGATGTTGAGATTTCATCAAGGCTCTGTGACCTTGCCAGGTTTACTTTTTGGTCAGTGACCATTTCACAATAAACCAGGAAACTTTGGGGTTGCCAGTGCAGCAGCTGACTGCAGAATTGCCAGGGTCACAAGTGTTTCACCCAGCTGCACTCCAAACACCACATATAACATTTCTGACAGCGTTCCCTTCTGGTTGGAGTTCAAATATTAGCACTGCTATCCATCATTGTGCTAAAGACCTCCTCATCCATGGGAAGGACCCTGCCAAAAGGAGTGTGGCAGCAGGAGCACTAGAGGAGTGACAGCACATCAGGAGTTCAGGCAGGTTTACAGCACTACAAACATACATAGGTTTGTAAATGGTCACGAATTTCAGTGGGGCAATGAAACAGAAGATCCTATGTTTATAAACTAAACATTCCAGAGCAGTTAAACAAGGTTTAAACAACAACAACAACAATATATTAAATAGGAAAGCTTTGGACAATTTAATTGTCCAAGTGTACTGGAGAGCAAAGTGTCTTTCCTGTTTAATCACTGTGTTTAATTAGTCTGGCTTAAGCAGTCTGTGTAACAAATCCAGCCAAATTAGGCTTCAGCAAGCCAACAGTTTTTGTATCTGACATTCTCCATTCCAGAGACAGTGAGATCCAGTACCTACTGTCTTCAGCTGCACAAAGCTTAAACAAAAATCCTAGAATGTTCACTTACATGTGAACCAAAGCCAGGACTGCATCCTTAGAATGGGAAAGGTGAGATCCAGGCAGGAGAACTGCAGGAGTGGAGAACACATAGACAAGCGACCCGGCCCAGGTACAGTGTAAAGTAGCACAGAAATGCAACTTGAGTCAAACAGAACAGTTCACAACTAGCAAACATATTGCTGTAAAATAGTCCAAACTGAATTTACTGATTCATGAAGTTACAATCACTGAAATTTGCTAGTTACCCTCTTAATAGCATCAGGAACACCAAAGAATCAGAGAATCCTCTCCTGTGCTGAGACACATTCCACTATATACTCTATCATCCTATTTTCAAGAGACTCTTGATTTTGAAACTTCCTTTGGCAATCCTAGTGCTCCCTGCAATTTACTGTTAGAAGTTCTGAGTAAGAGCAATTAAGTTTCTGTTCAGTTCTGTCTTACCTTTTACATTAAGAAGTTACACACAGGCATCCTTTGTAGCATGAATGAATTCGGTGACTAACATGCAATGCTGAGTATCAGGAACTGACCAAGTTCCATTTGTTTCCATCTGTTTTTTCATCTATGGAATTTATCTGGTTAAGCAGGTTCTCTTTCTTCCTTCAGCACTTCTAGCTGTTACATCCACTAGCCCAGATTTGGAGGGTCCTTACATACTGTACTTACACAGAAGCTGTTCAGTTTGGGAAGCAAGATCTTGTCGCAAACAGCTTTTCCCTCAAAAAAGTACCACTATGGTACCTTTTGATGTCATTTTCACCATGCTCACTAGGTACACAAATTTGTAAAAAAAAAAAATCCCCAACACTACTATGAAACGAAAAGCAGTTTCTAAGCAAGTGCTATTTTTAGAAAAGCAGTAAAGTTGGCCTCAGTAGTTTTAAGTTATTTCAAGAAACTAAATATAAGACACTTAAAATTGCTTTCCCTGGCAGCTCTGGCCTTTCTTTCAGTTTCAGCCCTTGATTACTAAAACTAAACAGTGGCTGCAAATAAATCAATTTCTCATGTAATTTTGCAAACTACATCTCAGTCTCACTGGTTTAAGGCTCTTCCTCGAACAGATGATACAATCAGTAATCACTACAACACTACTTCGAGGCTGATAACCAACTCATATAAATGTACACAGGCATTGAGAGTGAAAAGAGGTTTAGTTTTACTTCAGGTGATTCATATATTGTAAAATTCATCCTTTTAACAAGGGACAATATGGTGTCAGAAATCAACGTTCCAGCTATTTTGTCCAAACAATTACTTCATTCTGGCTTTTTCTATATTTTTCTGGTATACATTCCAGCCAAGAGCCATCTGATGTCTCCCTCTCTGGGGTATGAAATAGAAAACACGAAAGGTGTACCTTTATTGTGGAATTTCCCAGAGCTGCCTTGTAGCCGTCCCCTCTACCCCTTAAGGTTCATGGGCCTCACTTCATTTCACTGTCAGCACATGGAGGAGCAGGATGCACCTGCAATCCTGGAGCACATGACACTTCCTTGAGCTGAAGATTCCAAGCTGGCACTGTTCCCAGAGAACATTTCCCATAACAACTGGCTGTTGTTTTCCAGATCAGTTTACTAACAGCTAGATTCCCCAACACATCCAGAAATGCTACTCTGGAGTGACCTGAAACGATTTGTGCACTGGGATGGTGGGGAGGAGAAATTGTCTGCATATTCTAGAAATTAATAAAGAAATTGGAGTGGAAAATATCCAAAATGTATGAATAAACCTTTTCAGTAAATGAAAACCACAAGTTTATACTTGTTTGGAAGTATTAAAACACAAGTAGCTGGTAATTAGTCCATTACAGGTTTTTTTATCACAAATAACCATTCACTGAATTTGTATCACACACTGATTCTAGCTATCATGCTGACTCTTTGACTCAAAACATTTTAAAAACATTTCAAAAGTTATGCTTATATGCCAGTATTTTTAAGCTGATATCAGGTATCTGTCTCCAAGATAGATTTAGCTGTAAAAAACATCTGAGCTGTTTAAACCAGAACAGGCAAATGCTGCTTCAACAGTTTAAATCTGCTCCCAGATAGCCTTTTATAATTTCCTTGATGCTTTAGAAAAATGCCCCTTTTTATTTTGAAAAGAAGTCAAACTACTCGAGAAGTTTATTTGAAAGCTAAATGTCTATCAAATATGTAATGATACTTCTGGTACGAACTACTGTGTTTAGGAGTAAAAATTGTAGCTGAAGTTTCAGGAAAAATTTCAGTTTGATTATATAACATCTGATTATATAATATCTGACCAGACAGCTTCTGATTTTTTTTGGTGCTTTAAATACAGCCACTAGGTTATGCTGACAGCCATGCAAAATGAAACTGCACTTTAACCCACAGCAGTAATATCAAGATTGTGAACAGCTACAAATGCAGCATTTGCATTTTCAGTGCCATACCCACTTGAATTCAGAACCACTAAAAGACAAAGCAGCAGCTGGTTAAAAAAAGAAAACATAAGTCAAATTATAAAGCTACATAGTTTAGTACATTAAAACAAAACCAAGGACAATGGTATTTGTATAAGGTTCCAAAAATATACAGATGGCGGGGGGGGGAATAATCACTGTACACAACTCTGAGGTGGTTAAAGTGACCAGAGAGACTGAACAGTGCAAGACATGCTTTTCCAGTTACAAGCTCAAAACAGAAGTGCAAAAGAAATTAAAGCTCTGTCTGAAGTGATTTACCTTTTAGGATAAGGAAAGCTTAGAATATTGTCATCAGTGTTACAGAGAAATTTCCACCCCAACCCCGACACAGACACATAAAATAGTTTTAAGTTTTACCATAATACAGCATTTCACTCAAATGATGTCCCCAGAGCTTGGTGACTCCAGGGACAGTTTGTAGGTGTTCAGACCCAAGTGATGCACAGGCAGCCTCTCCATCCTCCAGCTTTGGCTAACAGTAAATCCCTGCCTTCCAGGCAGGGCGGGTGGCAGCCACACAGCCCAGGCTCAAACGCTTCTGTCGCTCGCCTCCCCAGAACACCTCGCTGCAAGGAAGCCGCTGTGCTGAAAGCAGAGACTGAGTTATGGCTGAGGAACAAAGAATTGCTTGACAGGTCTCTGTGCTCTCTCCCAGAGTTTGGAACAGTTTCAAGGCAAGTGCTTTTGGCAGGCTGACTAAACTGTACATGCATCTATTCATGCAAATGTAGAATATGGCTCCCAAGACCTAGAACCAGGGTGTGTGCATGTGAAGACTGGATAGAAGGCCCTTCCATGGAAGTTTATAAAAATATATAGCCAATACTGTAGCTTAGGAAGTCAGTTTTACTCATTACAGAGAACCCCAAAAAGTATTAACTACTTTTCAGACATTCCAGACAAGGTCACTTGTAACAAAAAAGGTCAAGTTCTCAAAAACACGGTTTTAAAAGCGGATCTTTCCTTCAAGTGAACAGGACATCTGATTTTACTCTTAACCATTAAGTCAGTTAAGACAATTTATTTAAGATTTCATGTGAACATATGCATAAACACAAATAAGTTTACTTTAAAACACATCTGCACGGAAAAAAAGGGTGCACATCTGCACCCGTCAAAACATAACAGAGCAGGTCTGGTTAGTATGTAGCTATTGCAAATCTTAAAGATTCTGTGCATTAGGCCCACCCATATAGAAAGC